TACCAATTGTTTATTGGATATTGTCATTGCTTAGCAACAAACGAGGAAATATTCGAAAAATATCCCAAGTAAAACCGTTTTACTTGTACCACGTGACGGAAAATGCCAGCATTTGATTGGTTGAAATTGAGATGAAAAAAACCATCAGGAATATAATATAATATATAATAGAATCTTCGAAAAACAACCGTGGCAAATTTTTATTTTTCACATTTAGAGCGGCACTATTTGGTAGGAAAATAATAATTACCGAAAACCAATTCCTAAATATATTCTTGAGGGTTTTTCGTTGTAAATTTTAATTTTTCTATTTTCTATTTAAAGTTTGAAACTGAAAATTTGCGCCAATTCTGGCGGGCCAGCCATTTTTATGCGACTGGCACGCCACTCTACGTGGCTGGCTGCAATATCGTCACTGCTGGGACTTATTCGCTCACAATGGTTGGCTAATTGGGTACCCATTAGGATGAGAGGATTATCCCGACCCTAGTAATAGGCTGGCTCCCGACTACCTGAAGGTTGCCGGGCCCTGTTCTACAGTTTCCTCCAGCACCAACAACATTGAATTTTTCAGAAAGCTGGGTAAGTTCGTCCTTCTGGAGACAGCCCGCAACTCCAGGCCAACCAGACTAATATGAAAACAATATTTAATTATTTTTTGAACGAAATACCTTCTTTATATGGTTATTGTTCTGTATTCATGAAAAGTAAAATTGGAAAAATCTGACGAAAACATTTGAACAGTAATCCAGATTAATTCATTAATTTATCCTATAGAATATCTAATTAGATCGTGGTGGAAAAATAGAATTTTCTGAATAGTAAGTCAGTAGAATTGCTATAGAATTTATAGAGTTCCGATCAAAATGTAACAGACCTTTTCTAACTGCACTTTTTCATACGTGAAAAAACGCACATATTTTCTAGCAATTACCTTTATACTTTGGTCAAAAAAAAAATGTGTAACTTCAACTGCTATCAAAATTCTGAATTTTTTTGGATTGAATCCAATTGAGTTTTTCGTCAAGTAAGCTTGCAGTAAATGGTAGTCGTCAATGTCTACATGTTGGTAGATTTTTAAACCTGCCTTAAATTTGGAATAACGATTTCACAGAGTCGTTGGTGCTAATTCTGTTGCTTATTCGCCGATATATGTAAACATTGAAGAATCTACGAATCCTTCTCTTCCCCTCTTCAGACTCTGTCACTGTCGAAAGTGATTGTAGGTGGTCAAGTAATTCTCGTTTGATTTTTCGAGCAGCAGATTTGGCACATATTTAGTAACATCTCCAAAAATCTCATCTGGTGACTCCTTGACATGATCATTGACGTTGAAAATTGGTTTTTAGAATTCATCTATTTTAGTTAGTTATTTCAAGTTCACATCACTAATTTGATGTTGACCTTACCCAATTGTTATTCTTTTAATTTAGGGTTTTATTAAATATTTTATGCCATCGGTGCCCGTAATCACGCGATTCTAACCTCGCTTCGCTCGATTAAATCGCGGATTCCGGGCGCGATGACATAAAATTTTGTATGAAACGCGTGCGTAATATACTATTTGGTAAGCCTGTAAACATGTAGTGAATTCTTTAACCGCAAAAGTTTTCTGATGCAATCCGTGTAAACTATATATATACAGATATGGATGACGATCGAGAAGTCGTTCAGTCGTATACAAGAACCATGTTATGATAGGTTTACATGAAGGCGACAGTTTCCTGTTGTCGAATCCCCGTTTGACAATA